GCTTATTCTGATCCGTTCCGCTTTTCAATTCTTTGATCACAGATTCAACGATTGGTAACATCATCGCCGTTGTCGCAGCATTGTTCATCCACATACTTAGAAAACCGGTGATGCACATAAAACCAAGTAAGATCCTATTAAAGGAAACTAGTCGATTATAAGTATTGTAGTAGATAATGAACTGACGTGTACCCTGATCCTTTAATAAATACCAAAGCATATAAAAATAATTATTTACCAATTTGGCTTTGGCCCGACCCATGTGAGAACCCGTAATGCGATTCTTTGATGCAGATTGCACTTCTCGACCGCAAGAGCTACGACGAGACCGCCGAAGCATAAAAAGTTTACATCCTGAAAACTTCAACGGTCAGTCTTTTCATGAAACATCGGCTCAAGCGAATCTGCTCTACCGGCATATAACTTTTGCAGGTTTCATCAGCTGATAAGATGCCAAGCATCGGATATAGCACTATGGGCAACAGCGCGGTAACCGCCAGAGGTAAAGCTTCGAACAGCCAGTATATGCCAACCAACAGTACGACGAAGAAGCATTTGCTCTCCTAAACAAGTTTATGAATATGCCATGCAAATAAGTGTATAGAAGAAAATCAGCGTTAACTTCTGCGACCAATGTGTCGGATACACGCTTTGCTACCTGAGACAATTAATCAGCAGAGGCGAATCGTCGATTTGAATCCAAATCGAGGTGTAGTAAGGAATGTGATATGTGATATGAATGAAAAAGGTCAGTATCATAGTAATGTTAGGCCTACTCACTCATTTTCAAAGTTCATTATTCCCATTAGGTCACAGTGGTAGGAAACCTTTCCAATGGTACCTGTTTGCCGCCAAACGGACGAGCGCCGTGGACTTGATTCAATAGCATGACAATGTCTGGTATTCTTTGAAAAAGAGCCATTTGGTCCGCAGTAAGCCTTTAGGCTGTCTTCCTTTTAGATCTGTAGTGTTATGCCCCTTTTAGAAAACCGATGGATCATTCACTTCCAGACGCATCTCAATAATAAACTCTCAAACTGCTGAAACATGACAAAACTGGTCAAAGCGTTCAAGAACAGGAGCGTGCTTCTGTTGCACATGATCATCGAGGAAGCGATAGTCACTGCTAGCCTCAGTTTTCATCATGTGACGGATGTTGTTCGATATCGAACCAGAGCCATCGACTATTCCGTCACGTATGGTCATCAAGAAGAGCTACTTCTGTGGAAAGCACGCTGCAAGAAAGTTCAGTGGCACACCTAAATAATTTGAGTTTATTAATTGTCTTAACAAACTACCAAATCGATGATAAGTTTTAAACGATCTCTACGAGCCACACAAAAGGCATCCCAAAGAGATGCAGAGAATATATATTTTTAGAATATTCTAGATCCAGTCTGCATGTCTGTTTTTGAATACCACTTTGACAGGGTTAAAGAACATGGGTACATTATTGACCGTGTAGGCATTCTGGTTCGAACATTTAGAGTTACTCCAGCTAGACTGATTTCCCGTGCCAGACTGAACAGGCTCAATGAAGGATAGAAGTGAGACCAAAAGCCTTCCATCAGTGACGCGCTCGATTAGGTCATTTGAAATCATCATACCATATGGTTATTCGCTAAATAAGCAAACATTTTCATTAAAATTTCCTTGAAAGAGATTTTGATATTGATCCTAGGGCCAAATTCATCAAAGGGTGGAGCGAAACACGAACTTAAAACAGAGATGGAAAAGTTTTACCAGCGCTTGACGCGTTTCCGTATCAAAAGCAGAAACATTTCAGAACTGAATCATCATTAACAACTTAATTTTCATATTGTGCTATTCCTTTCGAATCGATTTTCAAATTTGAAAAGCTGCAGCTCATGTGCTAAAAGATGATCTCAGAAAAAACCGACTTCAATACTTTATATTTAAAGGCAAAAAACGTAAATCAGCTAGTGGAACGCCTGTAGTCCGTTATGTTATATTGAGATGGTCCACGATTTTAACCTTTTTTATCTAAGCCTTTCATTTTTATTCGTGAGAGGCAGAGAAGAAAAAAAGGCTGCACCAATAATTTAATTTGAATAAAAACAAAGCCAATCGATTCATAAACGGGAATGCGGTAATATAGCTAACATGTAAACTAATTTCAACCAAAGGCATCGGGGAAACCTTTAGCTAATAAATACAATATAAGAACAGGTGCACTCTTACAGTACGTACCGAGG